GTAAACAGAAAGTCTTCGGAGAAATAAGAAAAAAACAGCTAAAAGAACATAAAACCAGTTAAAGGCGGCGTGTTTATTGCTCCTGCTTTGCTTGTCTGCACTTTATCGACTCTGCTTTATGTCCTAATCACTTTTTAATTGATCTGCCTGTTTACCGTCTCTGGATTTAATTGCTTTGGTGGTTTGTGATCCTGTTTTGTTCGTCTCTCTGTGAAACATGTTAACTTTTCTGAAGTGTAAAATAACTCAGGTTTAGAACTTTTTGTCTAAGGAGAAATAATGGCTGTGTGGGATTTAATTTGTTTTCCGTCAGGAGAAACTTAGTTCAGCTGCTGTTCTGACTTTGTTACCATTTTAAATGTCTCAGAAACAGATTAGACTCCTGATACATTTACACAAAGTCCTGCTGTTTTCAGCAGTTGTTCATATTCTGCTGCTATAAGACAAAACACATGAACCTCCAGACTGTCTCAGTTCAACACCTCATCATTTTCAAATAAATGTTTTATTCTCTTGTTTTAAAGGCTCTTAAATCTTATCAATTCTTTATTCAGTCATAATAAAGTTCAGTTTTACTAACAATTTAAACCTGAACTTTGGTATTTTCCATGCTCCACTTATAACGGCTGGGCTGTCGGGTTCATATAGTTTAACCTGACAAAACTAAAATTAAAATACTGGTTCAAATAAAAACACACAAATTCTTTGAGTGAAATGCCTTTTAGGTTTCTTAAAAGTACGGTTGTCACATTAAGTGTGTGTCAGTCAGTTGGACAAATGTCAGATATCAGTGTGACTCACATTGAGGGGAATAATCTGAGTTTTAACATTCCAGAATGAGGAAACCAGTTTAATAAACTCCAGTATCCTAACCTTGAGTCAGAGCGCTGCAAAACACCACCATGGTGATTTAATCACCATGGCAACCAGGGTCAATGTACTGGAAGGGGAAACGTTATCTCATCAGTCCGACAAAAGTTCAGCGTATAAAAATGAAACTTAAGAATATAATTCATAGTTTACATAAACTTTTTAAATCAGACAACATTTACATTTGGGATCAATATGGATGGGAAATGAATAATAAAACTTTATAATATTATTAAAAAATCTAACTTTAACATTAAAAACATGTTATGGAGATAAATCACACAACCCATTTTGAACAGTTTCCTTTAAATGGTCGATCAGTAGAAATTCAGATGCTACCTAAAGCAACTTTAAAATCAGACACCGGTTTCTAAAACTCATGACTGGATCAACAGGAAACCTTTATTTGTCTAAATCAATGATTGAATTTAATCTGGGCAAAATGCAGAACATGTTGTTACTGCTTGACTTGCTTACAGCATGCATTAGACAGACATCTGGTGTGAGTTTTAAAGCTGGGCCAGCGCCGGCCCTCCACTGGGTCTGAGCTGCACCTCTGGATCCAAACCACCAGAAACCCGTCAGCCTTATGGGCCGACTGCAGGAGGCTTTCATTCCCAGGTTTCTGGAATTAACTGTAAATCCTAAACTAGAAAAATATTCACTCATAAGACGACTGCTTATTAGGTCAGGCTACACAAATATGAGATGTATTTTTAAATTTATGTGTATAATTTTATATCGTCTCATAATATTTACTTTTTTGTTTAAAAACCATCACTAAATAATTTGTGATTACTTCACATGAGATTCTATTCACGCCACTAAACTGTCCTTTAGGAAATCTGGTTGCAGTGATGAACTCGGGTCTGAACCTTCAGAGACACATAAAGACGATTACAAAGTCAGTCTTCCATCAGCTGACGAACATTTGGTCTGTATGTGATCATTTTGATGATGTTTTGTTGTTTATTTTCTGTTCTTAATATTGTTGGTTATGGTGTTGAGTTTTTATTATGTAAATCACTTTGAACTGCCTTCTTATTGAAATGTGCTATTCAATCAAACTTGATGTGACCAGGATGTTCATCTGTTAGCATTTCATTCACTAACCAGCAGCTTGTGTTTCTGGTTGGGTTTGTTTATGTTTTAAAGTAAAGTCAAAGGTTAAGTTTGTTTCCATACATGAAATCAAAGCACTCATAAATATGGGACTCCAGCAGATCACTGATGTTGCAGCATGTTTGGATTTGGATGCGTCATCTGTCAGGTTTTCTGTGTGAGTTTCAGGTTTGTGTATCTCCGATTTAAACGCCGTTCATCACCACAGCAGAAACATTCCTGACGTCATGAGATCCAGACACTCAAAGTTTCAGCTTATGGTCCCCAAAATCATCCACTGATCATAATTACTGTTGAGTAATTACTGTTGAGTCCGAACACATTTTGGTGAAACATTAACCTCTCAAATGTCACTGATTGCTCACAGTTTGTTTTGAGACACACACACACACACACACACACACACACACACACACACACACACACACACACACACACACACACACACACACACAAACGAGTCCATTCACTCCTCTGCTCCCTCCTACTCGTCTCTCTCTCCTCTGTTCCTCTACAAACCCAGGAGAAGTTCGACAGCTCGGCTGACCCCGGCGTCGGTCCCGGTTACATTTCTGCAAATCTGAGTCTCTTTCAGCTCTGACGTTTCTCCTGAAGCTGAGAAACTAAATCTGGTAGAAACTGGCTGTAAATGGAGTTAAAATGTGTTTCTCTTGCTGTCAGTGGGATGTTTCATGGATCAGTCCGGTTGGTTCCCTTCACTGAATAATGGTGCTAATTAACAGAAGCAACTGTTGACAGCAGCTCATAAATGAACCACTCAGTCTTGGGGAAAAAGTCCAGTTTCCAACTATTATAACCTCTGGAGCTTCAGTTCTGTGATCCAGAATGAATCAGCTCTGATCAAATGTAGTTTTACTTTCCTAGATTTCTCTGAAACATGTGCTGCGCTTAATGTGTGGAGAGTGGAGTCAATAGCAGCTTCAACAAACCAGCGACATCAGTCACAACATGCAACAAGCTTTGCTGCTCACAGTGTAATGATGACCTCTATCAGCAGCTCTGTGTTGATTCTTTTAAAGCACCAAAACCCAAACCGGAGATTTGTTCACATGCACAGGAGCTGGTTTCTTTGTAAAGCTTTTTTCACTTCTCTTAAAATTTGCCTCTAATTTCCATCAGACTCTCCACAACCTGAACACCAAGCAGACATCCGCTGTCTGCACAGCTCAATTTCCTCCAAGACAAACCACAACCAAACAGAAACTTCATGTGTAATCTCTGCCAGCTCCACAGGACAATTATTAAAGGAAAAGTTTGAAAAGCAGAAATTAAACTGTGATTCTACGGACCTGCTGCTAAGGGATGCCGAGGCTAATGTTACAGAAGTGTGCAGATGAAGTTAAACTTCTTGTGCTTCATTTGTGAAGTAACTGGATGAGGTTCGTGCAGCAGAAACATTTCATGCCTTTTAGTTTCACTGCTCACGTTAGGCTGAGTGGAACCAGAATGCATAAAGATGGACCGGTCTTACCTGATCGTGGTTTTCCCTAAAATGTCTCGGCTCCAGCCTGGTTCTTCTTCTTCTCTTCTTTTCTTCCTGCTTCAGTTCCTGCACAGAAGGTGTGTGTTGGTTGTCTGAGCTCCTCTCTGTGAGGCGCGGTGTGTGTGAGCTGGTGACAGGGAGAGCAGCGCTGCTTTGTGCTCAGCGAGTGTGACTGGGAGAAACCGAGGGGGTGTGTGTGTGTGTGTGAGGGAGATTAGTTCACACACAAACATCTCTCCCGCCTGCAGGGAAACACCCCCTCTCCTTCCTTATTGCCCCCACCCTTCTTTCTCTCCTTCTCGTCAGGTCTTTTCATGCGATCACCTTCAAGGACTCATGATGGAGCAAAGCACCCTCCTCTCCCTCCTCTTCTTCCTCCTCCTCTCCCTCCTCCTCTTCCTCCTCCTCTCCCTCCTCCTCTTCTTCCTCCTCCTCTCCCTCCTCCTCTTCCTCCTCCTCATCCTCTCATTGACTCCTGCTTGGTTTGGGTTTTAACCTCTTCTTCTTTGCTCTCCTCCTTGCAGCCAGTTTGCTGCTGAGTCTCCAGAATCATAAATTAGTTACAGAGTTCTGGCACAAAATGACACGTCAGCAACAAAATAACCCAAATATCAACATTAATTAAAGTCATTTTTCTCTCATTTTGGAGTTTTTCTGTAACACTTCAAAGCAATTTAAGGTTAAAATTAATAAAATATCCTTAATGGCTTAATTTAATAAAATCTCTTGATTAAAAACAGGGAATAAAACTTATTATGATCAAATTATTAAATATGAAATAACAGCAGAAAGTGTTTAAAAGACAAATACAAAATAAAATATTGAACAATAACCTAACAATATTAATAATAAATAATATTCAATAAATAAAATACCTAAAAAATATGAATTAAATAAAGAATAACTTCAAAGACACAAAATATTGGATCGATTTTTCCGCCTCCTTCACCAAGTTTTTGCTCCAAATCGATACCTGAAGCTGAATAAATGAGACAGAAACCAGGCGGAGGCCCCGAGGAGCCCCCACCCCCATCAGTTATCACAGCGCTCAGCGTTAGCCAGCTAATCTGCTCTGGATCCACAGTAAACTGCTCCGCAGGAGGTCCAGCAGAGGAGGCTTTTTTTGTTCTTTTCAAGTATTTATGCTCCATAATTTCAGGTTTGAGTTCCCAGCGGATTGTTGTTGGAGCCAAACAATGAAACGAGGTTAACGTGCTGACTTTCCGCTTTAATTTCAGCTTGTTGTGGTAAACATGTGGGTAGTAACTCATTTCTAGCCCAACAGCCCCTCCGCCCCCCAGGCCTGAAGGCTGCAGCGGCTGCCTCTGTTCTTCATATGTGGATGCAGGCGACCTCATTTCAGATATTCAATATTCAGCCTGTCGCTGAACACACTGCTTAGGCATTAGCAAATGTTGGCCTGATTACAGTTTTTCTATCAATAAAATATTCAATGCATGCTTGCATCATCTGCAGCTGTCTCGTAAAATAACAGACAACATCTCTGAGCTCAAAGCTCCTGGGTAAAAGAATAATGCGGGTTTTATCATTTTTATAGGGAGTCTTCCAGAAACTCATTGAATTCTTTATAACTTCTCTGCTGTTTTTGGTCGTGAATCCAAACTTTCATATTTCAGGTTTATTTTCTGGCTGGAACAAGAACAAATGAAGTTCTTCCAGGGGGAATGTTTCCAGCAGCATGCTAAGCCTCCTCATACCTTCAAGGCAGAAGAAGAGAGTATATGGGTTTATGTGTTTCAACATACTGAAAGTTTATAAAATAATGAAACTTGGTATCCAGTGAAACTCCTCATTGCTCTGAACTGAAGCTCTCTGTCGGCCTTTGCAGAGGAAATGTGAAAGCCTTTGACTGTTTCAGCTGTTGAATGTATGTTGACTTGATTCCTGATCACTTTCATTCATTTCATTCATCGTTGTCGATTCTCCAAAGTTCAGATCTACTTATTGTCCCATCTGGTGGACCTCAAGGTTCTGGTTTGGGCCTCCTGCATTTCTGTAATTTATTCCATTTCTTATTCTAAGCGACAAACTTTACTAAGTGCTTGTCCAGTCCAGTATCTTGTTGCAGACAGACAGGTTGACAGGTTTGATTCCCTAAAGAACAGAAACTTCTTTAACTTCTCATCTAAACGGACAGAAATCACACGTGAGGCCCCAGGGGTCAGTCCTGGGACCCTCATCCCGCTGTTTCAGGTTATAACGAGTGATGATATTGGTTACCATAACTACACTGATGACACACAGCTCTACATCACGATGTCGCCAGGTGACTGAACCATCCAATCACTGAACAGATGCTCAGATCAGCTAAATGTGTCAGAACTTTCTCCAGCTGAATAGAAACAAAACTGAAGTTATTTTCTTTGGACCTAAAGAGGAACAATCTAGAATTATAGATCTGGATTAGTGAACAGCTTCTGTTACTACAGCTGGAAACCAGAGATCAGGCTGAACTTTGACCTGAACCTTCAGAGCCACATAAGGACGGTTACAAAGTCGGCCTTTTATCAGCTGGAGAACATTTCCAGGGTTAGAGGACTAAACTCATCCAGGTGTTTATCTTTAGTCACATTGATTACTGCAGCAGCGTCTTCACAGAACTAAAAAAAATCAATCCTCCTGCTGCAGCTGATCCAGAACACTGCTGCTGGAGCTCTGACTAAAACCAGGAACATAGAGCACATCACACGGTTCTAAAGAGAGAACAGACTTTAAAATACTGCTGGTAATTTATAAATCACTGGACGGATTAGAACCACAATGCATTAAAGATCCCAGAACCCGTCAGAACCAGTCGGGTCTTCTGGTTCTGGGGATTTGTTCGGTTTGTAAAAGACCCACAGCAGCTGCAGATATAAACATGTTTTGGTTCCCAGTCGAACCAAATCTACCGGCTCCATCATCAACACCAGATGCAGTGGATCTTTTCCATTTGGTGAATCTTAATGACTCAAAATCAATACTTGCCTCTCATATGATGAATAAAACTTAATATTTAGAACGTTTCAGTTTCCAAACATATCTGGCATTTCCTCTGCTGACATTTTTCTCATCTACGTTCCTTATTAAATGTTTTTCCCTCATCCATAGCGGTCAGGAGCTGGAGCAGTTGGTTTAACTGTGCTGCTGCACTCAGGGCGGCTCTGTGGCCTACATTACATTCATGGTGTTATAAAGCGGTGATGGGGGTGGGAGACGTCTGAGCCGCTCCGCTCTCTAACAAAGCTCTGAAACCTGCAGCGTCTCCAACATTAACACCATGTTACTGTGGAGGGTGCTGAGCAGCTTTTCTTTTTCCCTGTCAAACAGAAAGCTGACCCCCTGCAGAGCCGCTCAGCGGGGGGCTGCCGCTCACCGCGCCTCCTCAGACCCGGGAGACCCTCCGCCCTCCCTGGTGACTCCTGTTTGGTTCATCACCTCCTCCCGCTCCGATTCGCTGCCTCCTCTGGGATCCAGTGGATTATCGCTCTGATCTTTTTTTCTTATCACTTTCTCCTGAAATGTGTTTCCCTGACATCTTCTATCTGAGTGAATTTCGTTCTTCACCTCCGTGTTTCTCATTGCTGTCTGTCAGATTTACACTTTGCTTCCTTTTTTAAAACTTATTGGAAGACGCAACCTTCTCTTTTCTGCCTCTCCTCTCCTGTGATTGGATGGAGGTCTGGATGCTCCAGGAGCCACAGCTCTGAATAAATAACCGTGGGTAATTTGCTCCCAACCTGCAGCCCTTTATTTCCTCCTGCTCTTCTCCCCCAGTTTACAGAAAGAAGATGAAGACACAATAAAATGGAGGGATCCTCTCAGAGGCTCATTATATGGTTGCAGAGAAGTTTTCTCGCAGCGCCTGGTGACGACTCGCTCTCTCCGCTCCGTCTGCTCCTTTCCTGGCCAAATTACCCGTATTATATTAGCTTTTTTCTTTTTTCCAGTGGGTGTTCAGATAAAACTGGTCCCATTTAGAGACGTAATGAGCCGCCAAGTTCAGCTGAACTAAGGCAGATTATTGGGAACAATTTCCAAAGCTTGTCACACAGAACTAACAGCCATTAGCGGCGCTGCGCCTCCACGCTGCGGCCGCTGATGAGGATCAAACCGTTTATGAACAACCTGCAGCCAGAAGAAGGAAGTTTATGAGCAGGAATCAGTCCTGCAGCTCCTGTGTGGCTCTTTCCTTACGCTGCTACACACAAACAAAACACTCCTCCATTCATCGTCCTGTGAGGGAAGTGTGTGAGCAGCAGGTCAACTGTGAACATCAAGGATTAATAATGCAGGACAGGAAGCAGAACAAAGCTTTGCTCTCTGATTCTGCATGGAGCGTCAGGACAGACAGCAGCAGGAAAACCTGCAGACATCACAGAGTAAAACCTGAGGGCTGCGCCAAATGATGTCAGTTTTCATCTGGAGTAGAAGGGAAATATGGATGTAACTATTTTAGCAGTAACTGGGCAAATAGTGAAAAGTGAAAGTAAACCACAAAACACAAAATCTTACCGAGTATTTTAGTCTATTTTGTAGTGATAACATCTCAGAACATTTAAAATAAGACAAAATGAAAAGGTAAGTGGAGGAAGATTAGTCATTTACTTTCACTGATTTCATTATATTTTATCTTTTCATCTAATTATTTTTGAAGCACTTTGATCAACTTTATTGTTTTATCCCTATTTAACTATAGAAATGACCACAGAAAGAGGAAGAGCACAGAGAAGCTTCACAGATGGATTATGGGAAAGATGATCAGATGGAAGGCAAAAATCTGAAAGGAGCAGCCAGATTATAATCTGCAGTTTTAGCCAGAAATAAGGTTAGTATAAGAAAATTCTTCAGTTTTATACTCAAAAATAATTTTAAAGTTTTTTAACTTCTGTTAAAGGTTCTAACAACATTTATTTTCAAACCCAGCCGTTTCCCAGTGTTTATTCTGACCTCTCTGTAGTTTTGTTCCTTTGTTTTCAGGTTTTTTCCTGTTTCTCTCCTGTCATGTTTTCTGTTTTCTGTAAATTGATGAACTTTGACCTCCAGATCTGTCGGTGAAGCGTCTGCTGTAGTGGCAGGTTTTTCATGAGCTGGTGGAAGTGACCAAGGAGCTCAGCTTTCATCCGTCTGCTGCCATCGTTACTCATCTATGAATATTTATGTTGGTGTGAATGAAACGTTCATCCATTTTGATTCAGTTTCAGTGACATCCTGCGGGTGAAGCACCAACAGGAACGCTAAAAACATAA